AGCCAAACATGTTAAAATTGATCTCTTTGCACTGTTTTTTCAACGAATTTAAAGGGTTAGAGCTAGCACATGTTTTTTTGGTTAAAAATGGATGAATATCTAAGGGAGGAGAATAATGTGTTGTTTGGATAGTGGGAAGAAAAGGAAATTCATGCCTTTTTTAATCATGCATGCATGAGGGAGAAGAGGGTTGTTTAACCAATGTCAAAATGATGTTGTTTTAACTTAGTTTTTAAAAAAACAATACCATTTAGTTAAAAGGATTTTTTTTCTTTTCAAAATGATCCTCTAAGTTTTCCTCTTTTTCCATTTTGGTTATTGTCTTTTTTATTTTTTTTATTTTCTGTCAATTTTAACCTTTTTCTCAAGACTTCTTTCAATTTCATCCCTTACTAATTAAAAAAAGTCCCTACATGTTTAATTTTGATATTTTTCAAAACAATCAGTAGCTTTCTAATTTTTATTTTTCAGTCAATTTCACTCCTTTTCTCTTAATTTCTTCATAATTTCATTTCTAATGTAGTTTTCTTATCTCTTAACTTTCTTGTCTCTTTCAATTTGATCATTGGCTTTCCACTATTAAATTTGTAGACAATTTCAACCATTTTTTTCCCATTTCTTCACAATTTCACCCATTAATTGCAATTTTTTTTCCTTTATGTGTTTTTTTTCCTTCTCAACAATATATTTTTTTAATATTGTCTAGGAAATTGAGCAGGCAACATTTTTTTTGGATGAAAACTTTTGTTTTTGAGGAGGAATAAAAATTAATTTATGACCACAGTCATTTATTTACAATACTTATAGTACAAAGTTGATGAAAAATATTTTTTATAGGTTTTGTTTTATAAGCTTGTAAAGAAATAGTGCTTATAAAAAAAATAAAAAAAAATCAACCAAGTCAAGGAGTAACCAGTATTTAAAAAAAAATCAAATTAAAAACAACTAATTTCAACATAAAATTTAAATAGATTATATTTAGAGATAATCAATCTCAATATAACATGGTTAAATCAAAAATAAATAATTTTATTAGATCAAATCGAGAGGTGACTACTTATAAGATTTTGATCAAATTGATAGATAATTAATTTTATAAAAATTTTAATTTGATGAAAGCAATTAACCTCCTAAAATTTAAATTAAAAGGTGACCAGCCTTGTGAGATTTTCAATTTGGTCAAATGACCTACATTGTAAAATTTTAAAATCTTGATGAATTTGAGAGACCACAACCTAGTAAATTTGAAAGACTAGGATTGCAAATTGCACGTTTGCAACATACAAAGATAACGTATAATCGCAAGGAAGAGCATTCTTCAAGAAACGCCCCGCTCAGACAAATTCTTCATCAAAGCCTCCGCTCTGAAGATCAATTTAATCCGTACATAACCACGAGAAGAGCTGGGCATGTTTGATGGCCCCTCATTTTATCAGGAACACCTTCAAAGAACTTCTCTGCACTATTTATACCTCGAATTTTCGCAATTAACAAGGTAAAAGCTTTATATCATGCTGTTTTGTCATCCATTCACGTATCTACTGCATAATTAACAAACAGACATAACTTATTCAAACAAATAGTTTTACATCATGTTTGTCTTTATATTTTAAAAATATTTTTAAAAAATTTAATTTTTTTATTTTTTTATTTCAAATTAATATTTTTTTAGTATTTTTAAATTATTTTAATATATTAATATTAAAAATTAATTTTTTTTAGTTTTGAATTAAAAATTTTGGATGTTTTTGGATTGTTTTTATATGGTTTGATAATTATTTAAAAATTATTTTTTTAATATATTTCTAAACAAAAAATATTTTGAAAAGTAATCTTTAATATGCTATTAAATACACATTTAATGGTTAGAAATTGTTTTTATATGGTTTGATAATTATTTAAAAATTATTTTTTTAATATATTTCTAAACAAAAAATATTTTGAAAAGTAATCTTTAATATGCTATTAAATACACATTTAATGGTTAGAAATTATTTAAGGGAGTATTTTTCTAAATACATGATTAATTATTCTAATTTCTAAAAAAAAAAGACTTGTAAATATATGATCCAACGTATATATTAATCGAAATGGAAATTATTGCTTTGAGAAAACTTTCTCCATAATGGTAACAATTTGAAAGGGTTCCAATCCATTAAGAAAAGGCAAACTGCAGCCCGGCACCTGGAAAGCTTTACTCAACATATCCCATATTCTCAACCTCATCTCACAATTGACCATAAAATATTATCTATATCTATCCCGTGTGCAAAAGAAATCTTTTTACCGTGGTTTTTTTAAAATATTTTATTTTAGAAATATGTTAAAATAATATTATTTTATTTTTTTAAATTCATTTTAACATAAACCATCCAAAGAAGTAAAAGAAAATAATTTAAAATAAAAAAATCAAATATTTTAAAAAATACTACTGGACAGGAAAACCAAACACTGCATTACATGTGGCGACAAGAGGCTATTGGCATTATTGTCACTTCAACTCTCAGCTTTCGCACAGCGTTTCACTTGCAAGCGAGGGGCAGGAGGTGTGGTTAGTTTTTTTGAAAAATTATTTTTTTTTTTATAAAAAATATATATTTTTTATTTTAAAAAAATATATTTAAAAAAATAATACCTTAAAAAAAAACTAACCACACCTAACACCCAAACATTCTCTCCCGTGCCCTACTTTAATTTGGTCTTAATAGTATGTCCCATCTCTGCTCTAGTTTGCATGCATGCGTACAAGAACTGATACATCATCATCAACATTATGTCTCCATTCCATCCAATCGCTCCACCTTATATTCCTTTCTTCTCCTCTTTTTTCTTTTCGCTTTTTATTGTAATTGCTTGTTTTTTTACAGAAAAATATATTCCAGTCACTGTTAGATCAGTTGAAAAAATAATTTTTTTTTAAAAAAATAAATCTTTTTAGTTTTAAATTAAATTTTTTAGATGTTTTTAGATTGTTTCGATATGGTTTGATAATTAATTAAAAATTATTTTTTAATGTATTTTTAAATAAAAAATATTTTAAAAAACAAATAAATATTTAATGGTTAAAAATTATTTAAAGGCGTGTTTTTCTAAACACATGATCAATTATTCAAATTTCTGAAAGAAAAAAGACTTGTAAACATATGATCCAACGTATATAGTAAAGGAATGCAACTCCATCCGTAGGATCGAAATGGATATTATTGCTTTGAGAAAACTTTCTCCATGTCACCTATGGTAACAATTTAAAAGGGTTCCAATCCATTAGCAAAGGCAAACTGCAGCCCAGCACCTGGAAAGTTTTATTCAACATATCCCATATTCTCAACCTCATCTCACAATTGCCCACAAAATACTATCTATATTTATCCCGTGAGCAAAAGAAATCTTTTTACCGTGGTTTTTTTAAAATATTTTATTTTTAGAAATATGTTAAAATAATATTATTTTATTTTTTAAAATTTATTTTAACATAAACCATCCAAAGAAGTAAAAGAAAATAATTTAAAATAAAAAAATCAAATATTTTAAAAAATACTACTGGACAGGAAAACCAAACACTGCATTACATGTGGCGACAAGAGGCTATTGGCATTGTTGTCACTTGAACTCTCAGCTTTCGTACAGCGTTTCACTTGCAAGCAAGGACTTCAAGTCCTGCACCCAACTTTAACTTTGTCTTCGTGGCATGTCCCATCTCTGCTCTAGTTTGCATGCATGCGTACAAGAACTGATACATCATCATCAACTTTATGGCTACATTCCATCTAATCTCTCCACCTTACATTCCTTTCTTCTTCTCTTTTTCCTTTTCGCTTTTTATTGTAATTGCTTATTTATTTTTTTGACAGAAAATATATTCCAGTCACTATTAGACCAGTTAAAAAATAATTCTTATTTGAAAATTAATTTTTATATAAAAAATTATTAAAATATAAATTACTTTTTAATATTTAACAATATGATGAGAAATAAATTAAAAAATATTTTTCAATGTTTGATTGTCATATTAAATAAGATAAAAGATTAATTATTAATATTTTTTAAGTTTATTAAAATAATAAAAAATAAATCTTACAAATTAAAAACTTGAATGATAATAAAATTAAAAATAATAATTTTATAAATTATCTCAAATAAAATAAATAATAATAAAAATTAAATTTAATAGATAAAAAAATTGAAAGATGATAAAATTAAAAATATTATAATTTTATAAATTATTTCAAATAAAATAAATAATAATCAAATAATAATCAAATGTAATAAATAAAAAATTTCAATTAAAAAAAATAGTAATAGAAAAATAAATAACTATTACATAAAAATAAGGGTAAAATTTGATGTAAGAATCAAAATTTTAGGAATGAAATTAAAAAAAATTAAAATAAAATATATAGCAATAAAAAATTTAGAGATCAAATTTGATATAATCAACAAATAATAAAATATTTTTAATTTTTTTACAATTTATAAGAAGTATATTCCATTTAAAATAAAAAAATATATTTTCTTAAAAACTAAACTATTTTTTATTAATTAATTTTTTTAATAATAAATAAATACAAAAAAATTTAAAAAATAATTTTTAAAAAACCACTTCCCAACAAATAAACATTAATTTAATAACTTTTTTTTAATGTTATTATATTTGTCTCGTATTATAACCAAAACTGCATATATCTCCTCTCTTTTTTCTCAGTCTATTTCATAATTTCCTTATATTTCATGTTTCTTAAAAGTAAAACGTCATGTTTTCTAATCACTACTGTTCAAATTGTAAAACATGGTATTTTAGATGCACAAATTATGATATTTCATAAAAATATTTCAGACTATATTATTCTAAGAATACATAATGTTTTATTTCATAAAAATATTTAAAATGTGTTATTTGACTAATTTTTATATATAAAAAAACAGTGTTAATAAACGAAAATATCAAAAAAAAAAAAGAGTTCTGGAAGAAGTTGAAGCTACAGTAAAGCAGGGTGTTGTACCTGTGGATGCTGGTCTAGAGGCAACCTAGGAAGACTGCGATATTGGTGGTGGTGATGCTGTTGGTGCCTCACATAATCCTAAAATAAAACCTGGCTCTGAGATTTTCAAAACTAGAACCAAAAGGGACCAAAAAGACAGACAAAGAAATAAAACCAGAAGCACTACAACTTGCGATTCAGTGGCGTGTTTTTCGATTGGAAGGTTTATCAATAAAAAAATATCTATATATATATATATATATATATATATGCATATACTGTGATATACCTTGGAGTCCCATAAAGCCTCGTGATCTAGAACAATATGAGAAGGTAGCCATGGAATTGCTTCTCCCAACACAACTTCTCCATCTTCAATACCAGCCATTGAAAGCAGAAGGTTTGACAGATAGGGAGAGGGAAGCAAAGGGAGGCTTCAGGCTTTGGCTTGGCTTGTCATTTCAGTTTCTTTCTTGTTCTGGAGCGGAGAGGAGGAGGCTTTTAAGCTCCATCTTCTCACCTGCAACACAACTAAATTATCACGTGGTAAGACTAGAGGACATGGTAAAAAAGAAGAAGAAAAATGATATATTGTGGGACCTCTTGACTAGATATTAATCACTCTCCTCTTCAACGCTTGCAGAACATCTTCCAAGGGATTTTCACGAAACGAAGACGTTTTCCACTCGCTGTAAAGGGTACTGTTCCTGTAAGCGTCTGGTTTGCGTCTTTCAATTGCTTTATCTGATATTTAAGCAGAAAACCACGTCGCTTTCTAAACATTTATCGTATTTGCCTGGGACTCTGCGGTATCAATTTACTAATCCGGCCACCTAGAGCTGCTTCTTATTGCTCGTCATTAAACAAAATACTTTCCCTGATAACTTAATTGGCGGGGGTTATTTGGAAATATATTAATTTTTATTTTTTAAATATTTTATATTTTTTAAAAATTATTTTTAATATTAACCTATCAAAATGATTAAAAATATAAAAAAAATCAATTTAAAAAAAAATCTTTTAAAATACAAAAATAAACCTGCGTTACTACCTGACCCTTTTCTTCATTCAACTCTTAAAGAGACCGTCCACTTTAATAATATGTTTTTCTTCTATTAGAGTTCTAATTAAGGTAGAACGAGTGGCAAATCCTTATATCGCACGAGCTTGACAAAAATTGCTGTGTAGATTTACTGCATCAATTATTGCATAGACCTCGTCCAACTAACAAAAGATAAGATGCCTGGGTAAAAAAATATTAAACCCTAGCTCTTTGATCATCTTCTAATACATAGACCCCTACGCTTTTCTTTTTTTCTTTTATGTGTTTTATAAATGGGTTGGTAGAATTCAAAATGGAACAATGCAAGCTTTTACTTTTAATATTATTATTATTATTATTATTAATTGAGACGTTCGAGCTAGTTTATAGGTAGTATAATTAATTTTTAGATTCATTAAATATTCTAATTTTTAGATTTATTAAATATTTTACAAGCCTAATAAATAAATAAAACATAATGAAAATGACAGATATAAAAAAAAATCAAATCCAAATACAGAAAAAAAAAAAAGAAGTCCTTTCCCTGCAGGCAACACCTCAAGTGCATTTTTACTTTTGATATTATTTAACCATACAGTTGCTGTCTTCTTCTTCTTTTTTCAAGAAGAGCGTATTAATTGATTAGGAATGAATAGATTCCTTTTATGTATCTGATATATTTGTAAATTTCATAACTTTGAATGCCCAACAGTCCGGGAATGATTGTTCCTGTGGTTTAACTTTTAAAAGTATTTTTATTAAAAAGAATATTAAATTGATATATTTTTTAATATTTTTAATATATTAATATTAAAAAATAAAATAAAAATATTTTTAATTAAAAATCAACCTCCATGATATCACTAAACACATACCTAGTCAGTTTATTAGTTTAGCGAGTCTCGTGACAAAAGTTTTTCATGGAAACTTATATATATTGTATAAAAGAAAAGGAAACTAATTTTGTTTCTAAGAATTTTAAAAAACAGAATAGAGTACTTATCCTAGTTAATTACTAGTATTTAGTTTTGAGATATATGTTGAAGGGTATTAATTTGAGTTATTAAACAGATTAAGATGTGGATTGTAGGTTGCATTGGATTTGGTTAACCCTTTTTTTGTCTGCTAATTAAATATTGTTCCAATTATTCATAACGCAGATGGCAAAGCTCATTTGCACCATAATCACTAATCATATATATATATATATATATATATATAACATGTTAATATTAAAGTCATAATTTTGGTTTTGGATAAAGTGATTGCTGATTACACCCACCAAATCTCCATACGTGGTACAGGTAGCTAAACACTAAATTAATTAATAGCTAATTTGGTGATATCAATTGAACAGGTTACGTGGTGACGATCGATCTTATCCCAAATGTAGTAGCCCTGCATGTTGCAGCTGGTGGCTCTGTTCTTCTTAACAAACACACCAACCCCCGAAAATTAATCCAGCATCTTCAAATGTCTGTTTGTTTGGTTCAGGAAGGAGTGGTCGACCGAGGAATGCAAGAAGTGTACGTAACGCCCCACCCCCCCCCCCCCCCCCACGCCTTTTTTTAAGGTTTAATTTGACTTGTAAGAATTGGATTTCCAGATTTTTTAAAAAAATTTATTTGTAGTTTAAAATGTTTTTAATCTAGAAATGTTTCAAAATAATATTTTTATATTTTTAAAAATTATTTTTAATATCAGCACATTAAAACAACCTAAAAATATTTAAAAAATAATTTTTAATAAAATTAAATTAAAATTTTAAAAACATGAGTTAGACTATATTTCAAAACAATCCCGTAATAATATGGTATTCTACTTAATTCGAGAAGCCAATATGGATCAGTGGTAATCTACATGTTGGTGAACCACTTGTTCTTCTCAAGTAGTACGTAGTTGTCTGATGTCTTTAACAAAACTTTATTTCTTCCGATGACTAATATTTTCCTCATGGCCAAAATTGCCTTTCTATCTCGCAATCCTGACTGTTTCTTTTATTTATTTATGTTTTCAGTTGACGGAGATATAATTAGAAGTCAAAACCCATTATCGCCTTCTCGACGGAGGGAGTGGGTGGACTGAAATGTCCAAAATTAAACATATTATCTTATTATCTGGTTAAGCTACCTCTGCTACTTTCAGCATATCCAACTTAGCATTGAGCATTGCATAAAAAATGTATTTTCTCATGCGCACACACAGAGACACGCTGGCAGCTATATTTTCGGAGGAGAATGATGACATCATATTAGGATATTGCCGTAACTACTGAACGAATGTTTCAATCATCCACCCTCCTGCGATGATCGATGCACGTTGTTTTTGGTAAGCTAAACCGGAACTAATCCACTTCAAGTAGGTATTACTGTTCAGCTCTCTCGTGTCCTTTTAGTCATGTACTAGATCATTGTTTGACGCTATATAATAAATTAATTGAATTATTTTTAAACGTACAAAACGTATTTGAGCATCTCTTAGCAGAATTTTTTAACCATAAATTCAAAATTAATATATATGAGATGAGATTTTAAAAAAAATATTGAGATTGTGATATATGAAGTGATATTTTAAAAAAAAATATTAAAAGTAAAATATATTAAATCGGTTCAAGTAAATTCGTGACTCAAGTAATGGGATTATTATAATTTTATAAAAAAATAAATTAAAATAAATTATAAAGTTTTATTCTTAATCAATTTTATATTAAATAAAAAAATTAAAAAAATATTAAAAAAAAAATATGAGTGAACCAGTCAAACCTATAATTCGAGTTATACATAACATTAGATTTAATATTTTTTTTCAATTTTTTTAATTTATACAATAACAAAAATAGATGTTCATAAAATTAAACACCTATCAAATGTTGAGACATTTGTCCGAGACTATTATAATTATATAAAAATTAAATTAAAATAAATTATAAATTTTAATTTAAAATCTACAAATAAAATAATTTTATGAACTATATCTAACAATATTAGAAAGCCATTAAAAATAAAAATAAAATACATGAGTGAAAAGTTGTTGATTTCTAAAAATGATATTTTTTTAACACACATGCATATGTAAAAGTGTAACAATACAGTTTTTTGAAACGAATCTAATACTATTTCAAATCCAATAAAAACAAAATAAAATCCAAATAACATTTAAAAATATAAGAGCAAGAAGTTATTAATTTTGAAAATTAATTTCTACATACTTATATTTTTGTTAGAATAAAAAAGTGTAAGTTTACAAAATGAAACTATCATGACTGTAAAGTCAATAAAAAAAATATGAATAAAAAATTGAGTGATAGGATTATGCATGCAAGATCCTAGAATTGAAAAAAATAAATAAACAAGGTAGGTTGTGGCTTACCTGAGGGGTGGTTTTAGATTATTTAGGGGTTACGATGATGGCTATTGAGGGCTTTTGTGGTGGAGATGGTGGTAGTGTCAATGATGGAAAGGTTTTTGGTGGTTTTCTCTCTTTAATTTCAAGTTTCTCTTGTTTTTTGTTTATCTTTTATTTGTCTCTTCCTCTTCTATCTACTAGTTCAAAATTACTATTTTCTTTTATCTTAAAACTTTATTATTTCTTTTATCTTGCCATTTTTTTTTTGTATTTTGTTTCTCTAACTCCAGTCCTCGTGGTTCTTGCCTTTCTATTTATAGACAAAAATAGAGGTCTCAAAACCCTTATAGGTGGAATAATCATGTCCCTTGATTTTTTTTGGATCAATCTCAATCATCATCATAATTGTAACCTTTAGCTAAACATGTTAAAATTGATCTATTTAAACTGTTTTTTCAATAAATTTAAAGGGTCAGAGCACATGTTTTTTTGGTTAAAAATGGATGAATATCTAAGGGAGGAAAATAATGTGTTGTTTGGATAGGGGGAAGAGAGAAATGAGTGCCTAAAAGCAAGCTAAAAGCCATGCAAAACAAAGGAAATTCATGCCTTTTTTAATCATGCATTCACGAGGGAGAAGAGGGTTGTTTAATCAATGTCAAAATGTTGTTGTTTTAACTTAGTTTTTTAAAAAACAATGCCATTTAGTTAAAAGGATTTTTTTTTCTTTTTGAATTGATCCTCTAAATTTTCCTTTATTTCCATTTTGGTCATTGTCTTTTTTTATTTTCTGTCAATTTCGACCTTTTTCTCAAGACTTCTTTCAATCTCATCCCTTACTAATTAAAAAAAAGTCCCTACATGTTTAATTTTGACATTTTTCAAAACAATAAGTAGCTTTTTGATTTTTATTTTTCAGTCAATTTCACTCCTTTTCTCTTAATTTCTTCATAATTTCATTTCTAATGTAGTTTTCTTATCTCTTAACTTTCTTGTCTCTTTCAATTTGATCATTGGCTTTCCACTATTAAATTTGTAGACAATTTCAACCATTTTTTTCCCATTTCTTCACAATTTCACCCATTAATTGCAATTTTTTTTCTTTATGTTTTTTTCCTTTTCTTTTTCAACAACATATTTTTTTAACATTGTCTAGGAAATTGAGCTGGCAACATTTTTTTTGAATGAAAACTTTTGTTTTCGAGGAGGAATAAAAATTAATTTATAACCGCAGTCATTTATTTACAATACTTATAGTACAAAGTTAATAAAAAATATTTTTCATAGGTTTTGTTTCATAAGCTTGTAAAAAAATAGTATTTATAAAAAAATAAATAAAA